GGGAGGGGAATCAGGAGGGGAACTTCATGTATAACCTGGATCAACAGAAAGACAAACAACTGAGTCCTAAATCAAATAAATTCAGAGCTTTTCCTGAAAGCAAAAGTGATGAAACTGAAGCTGCCACTTTGAGCACATCATGAAAAGGCAAGACTCACTGGAGAGGAATGCTAGGGAATGTCAAAGGCAGAAGAAGAAGAGGAAAACCAAAGACAAGATGAATGGACTCCATCAAGGAGCCACAGCTTTGAATTTGCACAAGCTGAGCAGTGCTGTAAAAGATAGGACATTTTGGAAGGGGTCACCATAAGTCAGAGACAGCTTGACAACACAGAACAACAGTGGTGAGCAGCAGCTGAATGGCTGGATTGAGCTGCCATGTACATTTCCCACAAGGCAGCTGGCAGCTGCCTCAAAGTACTTGCTGCTGGTGCTGGCCCTGTCTAGAAGAAAGATGGCAATGCTGTTGAGACAGCCCAAATTGCAACATTACTGGCAAAGCACACCACTATTCTGCTGCTCCATAAAATCTTGTTTTGAAGCAACTTTCCCCGTAGGTAAGTGAACTTGATTGAGTTTAAAACATCATGATAGCAAGAGCACTTAATGGAAGGCTATGCACCTACAACTTTGTTTTTCCTTTCTTCCAGGACTCTTTTGGGGCCCATTTTTTGTATGTAAGAAAACTATTAATTAGCTCCATGTTGTTACTATCTTACTCATGATCTCCAGTCAGGTAATTTTCCTTCATTTAGTGTATGACTTCATGTTTACTCAGAAGTATATCCTTTCATGTTCAAGGAGGTGTATTCTTTAATGTGTTCAGCATTACAGCCTTTTAGACTAGCCAGGTGACTAGGAATGCTAGTTTCTGAGAGAAACTTAGATATATTTATTCAAAATTACGTTGCATAATTTTACTAAGACCTGCTTCCAGCAGAGGATTTCCATTCTGCAGCCAGATTGCATGCATGTGTTTCTTCAGAAGCAAGACTTGCAACTTTCCCCCCCTCATCACAACTCTTCTGGAATCAAAAGGAAACACTCATGCTGGTCTGGTCTAATTGCTTATCACCAAGGTGAGAACAGACTTACTGAGTTCAGTGGGCACATCCTTTGGAAGGAAGGTTGGGTAGAGATGAGAACAGAAATCTTATCTGGATCCTGTGATTACAAGGAAGTGTCAAGTGTACCACTTGTAAAGAAAGATCTGGAATAGTTACCACCTCAGTCTGGGGGTGGTAACTCAGTTTCCTGTTTTTCCTCAGTTTCTTAGTTTTCTGTGCATGATCAGACAAGTATTTCCAGAGAAAATCGTACTGCCCCATTACTTAATGATGCCACCATTGTAATAAGTCATACCAAAGTGTTACTAATCCAGTGGCAACTGAGGGTGCAATCCTGTTTACACTTGTGCATACTGAATGGGACTGACTGAGTTGGGCAGGAGCGCCAGGCCTCGCCAGGATGCAGCACGGATGCCTTTTTGTTATCAGGGATGCGCCGCCTGATAAGATTCTGAGGAATGCTGTGCCACCCTCCTCACGACTCCCTGCTGAACCCTCACAGTAGCTCAGATGGGGTGGGGGGAATTATGTTCTCCAGTAACAATATGTCGCCTTTTATGTCGCATTGTGATGTCTTGGGGTGACTTGTTCTTGAACAGTCAGTGAAACTTTATAAAAGGTCTGTTCCTGGGGGAGATGAAAATTGCTAGAAGCTGTTTGATATGAACCAGCCTGGCTGCCTGATTTTTTTTTTTTTAAGTGGGGGGCTGTCCTTGGTGATGATGGAGAGAGAGAGAGAGAGAGAGAGAGTGTGGTGGGGGGAGGTGCTTATAGGAACTGTCTTGATGAGTAGCTACCAGATTTACCACTGTACCACTGGACTGACTGACGAGCAAACAGGAATGCTCTGTAATAGCTTGATTTCTTTTTGCTTCTGTCTTTGGCAGATGATGACTGAAACCTGAGCAAATATCCATGCTCTCCATCACAGGTACTTTGATACAGGGTTTGCCACCTGAGGCAGTAGTTTCCATTAGCAACTCTCCATTTTCTTCTTAAGAGCAGTAGGAGGCAAAATGAAAGCTATCATTACCTTCTGGATCCGTTCCACTGATAAACTGTGGTGCTAGCTTGGATTTATGTGGGCTGCCTGAATTTCTGTGGCTTTCAGACAAGGCTTGTACTGTTCACACACCTAGCTTTGTCTGTGGAATTATGTGAGATCTAGATATTTCCCCACCACTTTTACTCCTTCATGTTCTTCCTCTGCTACTTCAGGCTGTCTTTCCACATAAAATCTGTTAAGGAGGGAAAGACAGAATAGCTGTACAATGGCTTTTGATTGGTAGTGCTTGAGGCTAGCTGCCTGGAAAGATTGACATGACCTGGGTTAGACAGAAGGCTAAACCAGGGTCCAGAGGAATCCTGGCTTATTTCATGCTGCCTGGTGTCTCCTGCTTGGCTTGTTGAATAAGTGGAAGTGCCGTAACAACCTGTGGATAGATAATTTCTTGTTGACTTTTGATTCTGATTTGTCTGGGAAAAGGCAAGCTGGAGTGTCCAATCAGCATGTACAGCGATAATGAATAAACTATGGATTGCTGCTTCTAGTTGAAGGAGGAGGGATCAGGCACTGTGTTGGCTTATCATGACTTATCTTCAACAGCTTTGAAGAAGACTAACATTCAGCAGGACGGTGATAAAGCTGTGGAACTTTTTCATCACCATGGAGTAAAATGACAGAATAAATGATAACTTTCAACTTGCACATATAAAAATTGAGAGAGTCAAATCAAATGCTCAGAAATTGTTCTTTATGTGCTTTGATACAAATATAGATTGGTGGAACTGGTTTATTTTTTTATTTTTATTATAGTTTTTATTAAGCACTTCCCAATTTCTCTCTTAGGTGCATGAAGTTCCATTTTTAAAATGTCTGTAATGCAGCCTGTGTATGTGCCCTCCAGCTTCTGCATTTCTGAAGGTATGTGATTGTGGAAGGAGATTGAAAATGGTGACTTTTGGGGGTGGGGATGGGATGCCTTAGCCCTGTCATGTAGTAGGCACTTCATGAACTGAGCTCAAGAATGAAAAATGTGTCCACTCTGATGAAATGCAGAAATTCTTCAGAACTTCTTTGGTTCAAGTATGAGAAATGTCACTTGTGGGGCTGTTGACTCTGGAAGTTTCAGCAGGGCTACAAAACATTCTTTCTCTCAAGGAATGTAAGCTTAAGGTGGAGCATTGGACATATTGTTACAATGATGAGCAAAATACTCAAATTTAGCTAGAATAGGTCTGACAGACACAGTAAGTTACAAATTCTTAATATGTCTACTAGAGTTCTCTGCATAACTGTTTATCAATGTTGATTGATGATGCCTTTTCTACATCACTGCTGAGGATTGCGTAGTAGATGGAACTTGCAACTAAAGTTTGCTGTGTAGCTTCCTGTTAACATTACTCAAGCTGTAGTTATCTTGGCCAGCGAGTTTTGCCACTTGCCCAAATGCTTGTACAGACATCAGTGTCCTTGTGCTACTACTAACATCCTAACTTAAGTAGGAAGCCAGCCCACTTCCCATTACTTGAATATATGCAGTCATAAGGAGTACATTTCAACAAGTGAATCTTATATACTTGGGCTATTAATTCAATGGAAGTAATGACAATTCTACACCCTTCTTCTGAGTTTGTACAGTTATGCAGAAATATTCTAAGCTTGGGGCAGTTAAAATTATAAGAGCATACATCAAGATGAAGACCAAGGATGACTGGTGAAAGTATATGCTTCAATGCTGTATAAGGTTGCTCAGATGCAAGAAAGAGCAGGACTTCTGTATCTTTAATTTGTAGTTTAGAAGAGGGAATTTTACAGGGCTAAGAAACTGTAGTTGCCGAGACTCCTTTCTGTGCAGCTATCAAAGGTGCAGGAGCCTTGTCCTGCACTGCATCGGGTCATCCTGGCACTGAATACTCACATAATCAATATTGTTACCTTTTTCAAAGGTGTCTTGTAAGTGAGCAGTTTGGGCAGTGGTGTGCTAAGGATGTTGGAGGATTTCCATAAAGATGATTCTGCATACTACTGTTGTGTAGTCTTCCATTGATGACCCTCCTTACTGTGCATCAGCTAATATAAATGTGCTAGAGATTGCAAGCCACCTTTCCCAGAAGTGTATGTGAAAGCAGCAAAGAACAACCCCCGTCCCCAAGTGTGATCCCTAAAATACTCTTCACGAGCAATTTCTTGCTTGCGGGGGTTGGGTGGGTCATGCGGCTGTTTTCTGCTAAAGAAATGCATTTGGGACAGTTGGTGACTTTGGCGTCTAAACGTGAGTAACACATTCAAGGTTGCACATTCAGAAGAGCAAAAGATTAGGGCAAACATGGGTTAGGCGAGGTCTTGGGGACGTGGTGCAACGCGGAATGACTTTTTCGAGTGCTGCTTGTTCAGCCGCAACTGATTTAGGACTATTTGTTTTTGTTTCTTCAGGTTAGGTCTTTCCCAGAAGTCCCAGCCCTGTCAATCATAAGATAACGTTCTTCGTAATTGGGACTCTGCGCCCGGTGCTGATCTGTAACTCCGCCTACCTAATACGGGGTTTCCAGATCTCGGCTTCTAGGGCTTCCACTGTGCAGCGCACCTATCCTTGGGCGGGCAGCGTAGCCACACCTCCAGTGAACCTATCGCCTAATAATGAAGGGAGCGTCGCCTCATTGGCCTCTACCTGAACCGACAGTCACTGGACTTGCCCTAATAAGCCACCCTTCAACACCTATTGGTTCGAGCGGACGTCACTCTCACAAACCGGCTTTGCATTCCCCCTGGCGCGATTGGCTGTCTTCGTTGCCTTTCTGAACGTCGTCCGCCCCCTCTCCTTTCTTTGGCCTATCGTTCTCCGGGCTGGAGACACAGCCGATTTCTGACTGGTTGTGGGCGTGCAGTGGTGTTAGGCTGCGCGCCGGGTATATTAAGCCGGTGGCCGAACACGCTGGTGCGTGAGGTGCTTCCCGTCTTCTTCGGCCGGCCTTGCTGCCTGGTACGGAGTGAAACGTCCTCGTCCCGTGGTCCAGCTCCGCCTCGCCTGCAGGTTGGTGCGGGGAGAAGAGCCGGGTCATGTCCTTGACGGGCTGCTAGCGCCCGCGGCGTCTCCGTCGCCATAGACGCGTGGGGCCCGTGTGGCGCTGGCCACGGCGCTCCTCCCTCTCCCGGGCTGGGCTCTGCTGTGCTCTGCTGTGCTCTGCGGCCTGCTGTCGGCCCCTGAGCCGGCGAGTGGCACACGAATGCCTCCCCGGCTGGTGGGTGGGTCGTGATGGGCTGCATTAGGCCGGGGGCCGCGAGGGCGTGCCACTCCCCGGCTTGGAGCTGAGCGGCACGGGCTACCTGGCGGTATTGGGCTCCCTGGGTGGTGGGGCCGTGAGAGAAGCGGAGGGCCAGCAGCGGGACTTGGCGGCATGCCATGACAGTGGCGAGCGTGGCTGCGCTACCTACTCGGGTCTGTGCGCTGGAGCGAGTGCTGGCTGCGCGGAAGAGGAGGCGTCCAGTCGGCGCCTGGGGGCCGGCACTGCGTGAGGCAGGCGGGCGGGCGGCGGTGGGGGGATCTGGCGCTGCCGCGGCTGGGCGCCTGTGCTACCAGTCCTGGCCGCGGGCTTCGAAGGGCGTGAATGCGGGCCTAGTTCACCTGCACGCAGGGGTGAGGATTTCGCTCGTAGCCCTTCTGGGGGTGGCTCTAGACCTGCCCCGGCAGTGCGGTTGCTGCTGCATCGTGCCCCGCCTCGGCTTTCGTTAGGGCGCCGTGACCACAGAGCTCGCCTGGCGCGCTGAATAACCAACTCATCAGGTTCCCGATCACGCCTGTGAAGCAGTGCGGGCCTGCAGTGGGGGAGCCGCGGAGGAGTGGCGGGAGGAATAGGGGAAACGGGATAGCGCACAGCCGCTCCCGCGCTTCTCTCGCGCCTCTACAGCCGCCTCGCCTTCCTCGTACAAGAGCGGAAATGAGCGATGGTGGTAAAAGCTTCACCGGCTTAGGGGGCGGGGGAGTGCTAATACTAAAGCGAAAGGGGTGTGAGGTGCCGCTCTATTCATCACCGTAGCAGAAATAATTGCGTACAGAGGACAATAACTCCTCCAATTCGGGTGGATGGGAGAGATTTGTAAAGAGGGCAGGGCCACAAAGTGAGCTTGGTTTGCAGCTTCATTGTGCGAGCTTAGTTATACAGAGTCACTTGCTTTGTTCGTTGACTTGTACAGTCAAAATCTGTTCTTTAGTACATAGGATATATAGCTAAGCTATAATGTAAAGACTTTTCCAGCGGCGTTCAGATGGTAGAGCAGACCAATTTTGGCCCCCCCCCCCCCGCTCTAGGAGAATTACAACCCTAATAGTCCACAGCTCCGAACTGTGGACTCTTACAAAGAGAAAGCACACATTCATAACAGCATGGCAATGAGGGCACTTGTCAAGGTCAGTCTTAACGTTGGTAGGAGTTACATCAAGTATGCATATACGTGAAGTTTCCAGTAATTTCTAGGCCTTTCTGTCTTAATTATGAGTTGTTTTTAGTTAACAATTCCCACTTGGGCAGTTCAGATGGGTTTCAAATTTATGCATATTTATCTGTTAATGGAAAACTTGGGTGAAGGTTGTGACCAGTATGTATACTGTGTCAGGTGGCAGCATCATAATCTACTGCAGAGTATTTGTAGCAAGTGGCCATGTTTCCAGTCTGTGCTATTTTTGTCTTCCTCTCTTCTCACAGTGCTGGGGTTAAGAAATGCAGGCAGACACAGTTAGGTTTAGATACATGCCCATTTGCTGTCTCGGGGTCACATGCAGGGCTGTGGTAAATCAGTGACTGAAAATCAATTTTGCTACTAAGATGTCTTGTATAGTTTTTGTGTTCCAGAAAATGCATGACATTCAGTATGCTTAAGTCTCACTAAATCTTTTAGGAAATATACTACTTGGTATTTTGTTATTTGCTAGTAGCAGAAGTATTTAATTTTAAAATTTGCAATGGTAATGCATTGTCCAGACAACATCTAATAAGCAAATCACTGGTAGTGCAGTATGTTGTAATATTCAAGCACTGCTTATAAAAGCTTATGTTGGAATTGTATGTTGACTGCATATAAAAGAAGGTTCAGTTGGGTAATATAGGCTGAATCAAATATGACATTTTGGCTGCCTATACTTTTTAGCATTTCTGTTTAGAAGACATGTTCTAAACTCATGCTGGTTGTACATATTTTAATAGGAAAATTAAAACCGTGCTCACTTTTACACGCAGAAGACTGAAATATTGTTGAATCCAGATTAATATGGAATCATAAGAGTACTTTTATCAAAGCTAAGAGAAAAGGGGAGAGGCCTTTCATTTCCTTTATTGCATTTTACATTGGACCAGTAGCCAAACACTCTTGGTATTCTACAGAGATTAAAAACTATAAAAATGATATTACACAGGGAAGAATGCATATCTGAAAAAGTAAAATCAACAAGAATTTAAGACCTCAAGAATTCAAGTCAGATATGCATCCTGATGCTATAGTTTGGCAAAACTAATTTTGTAGTACCTTATGGGGGAAAAATGTTTTCAGCTTTCTGGTACTTTACTCCAAATTAAAAGAATAAGAATAATGCAGGTAGAAAGGGAACAAAATGCTTTCATGGGGTTGCATCCTGTAAAACAATCTTTTGTAAATGTACCACTTCATGGTTTGCACTTTGGACAAAGTTATACTAAGTTGTTAGAGATGAGTGACATTCTTAATCAGGTTATGCAACCTTAAGTCTTCAGCTCTTGGGACAAAAACTCTCCTCATCCTCAAGTTATCCCAGCAGTGTTTGGGACCAAAGGTTAGGGAAGGCTTCTCTAAACTGGTATTCGTTTCTATTTTTTAAATTAGGAGGAAGATGTAGGGCTACAATAACACATCCACAGATAACTAGGGACAGTAAATATGCTTCAGATACCCGACTATGTGGAATCTATACTTCTGTTAACATGAGCAGACCAGAAGAGGGAGAATATTGCAGTTCAAAGTACAATATACAATCACAGAAAATATATGGGCAGAGCAATCCCATGGGGAAGAGTCCATGACAGTGGAGCACTACTTTGTTAGACCTGATGTGCTCATGCCAACTTAGATGGAAGAGGATGAACTCTCTTCATCTGTCCCTGTTTTCATTTGTTTCCTGCCTGATTGGCATCTGTGGGAAGCAAAACAACTCTACTACCTATGGGATTAGTATAGTTTTCCTCATGCTTAGGCCATACCTGAGAAATGAGGGAAAAACTGAATCTAAAGCCTTCCCCAGTCTGCCTGTGAAATGCTCCCAAAATGCCTCCTTTTTTCCCCTTATGACAAGACAGCTACTTCAGCAAAACAACCATGCTAGACCTTTCTGCTGCTGACCAAAAGAGGACTTCAATAATGGACTTTCTTTTTGCCCTTGGACACTGTGCCCAGTTTTCTATGGCTTCTAGGACATCTGCCAGGAACCTAATGTTTTGCAGTTTAAGACATTAAGGTCAGAATTCCTATGCATGGTTAGACAGAAAATGATGTATTGGGCTGGGGAATGTCAGGATGTTTTTCTCTTGGATTTCACCTTAATTTGGCTTTTGAAATGCTCAGTCCTAATTCTTGAATTTCTGAAGGTGATATTTAAGTGTCCATGTTTTTAAAATGAGTTGCAAAGATTATTGATATATGTTAAGTCATTCATGTGAAATAGAAAGCATAGAAGACATTTCAAAAGACAAAGTAGAAAAGATGTTATATGTTTGATTTATTGGATTATACCTCACTTTTCTTTGAAGAACTCAAAGCAAATTTATCAAAATGCATTGCATACAACAGCTCTGCTTGTTGGGTGAACTACATTTAAAACTTCTTTTTGCTGCTGAAACAGGTGGTTTTCATATACCAGTTATTTAATCCCATAGCTCTGGATTTAATTTAGTTTTGACAAATTCTGAAATTTTCACTCTGCTATAATATCTTCCTCTGTGTTGGAAAGCATTGTATATATGTAGAACCACAGCTAAATACTGATGGCTGTTCAAAGACTTTTCAGAGGCTATGCAGCTCAATATAGTAAGGGTTGGATGAACTCCAGAAAGTACTCAGAAGTATCAGTCAGACTATAATGTGAATATATGAGTAGTGGCTACAAGAGTTTAATTTTAGCTAAAAAAGGGAATGCTGAGGATTAAAAGTTTTCAGCCCCCTTATATCAAATATTAATTTCTCTATAATTTTTCCTAAGTAATGTTAATTGCTCAAAGCACTTCACATTCATTATTTTAGTAAACTTTACCACCCTGTAAGTTATGCAAATAAAAGCATGTTTACACATGTTTTGGAAAAAAAATTGTTCTAAGGTCTCCCAGGAACTCAAGGTGAGTTTTTATATAGATTATTTCCCAGATGGCACCCTATTAGATATATGTTGTGGTACTTGTAGACTGTAGATGCTTTTTTACAGAGATTTCTGCTGACCTTTAACATACAGCCATTTACAAAACCATTAGCCTAATTTTTGTCATCAACTCCTGGCTATAATCCTATCTGTGCTTACCTGGAAATAAGTATCATTAAACATGGTGTGACTGATTTCTGGCAAAGCATGCGTGGGATTGTGCTGTCAGTTACTTGGGTAATTGTTTATACTACAGTAAGCATATTTAGTTTATTTCTTTTGTTTATGTGTAACTTGTTTATGGTAAGAATTTGCTGCAGTGCTGGTTCTGCTTTAGAACCAGATTTTGGTTCTTCTATAGATACAGTGTGTATTTGATGGTCATCATGCAGAAAAAGGTACTACACTTGTGCATGTGATATCTTGAAGGTATGTTATTAATGGCTGGGTGTTGACTGTTAGACATTTATTGTAGTGATGCACTATTACTTATTCCCAATTGACAGTGATTGACAAAGATGGATCCAATGATAATTGTAATTTTTGCACTCAGTTGAATGTCCAACCCAAAGTGCAAGATCTCCTTGAGTTCCTTTCTTACTGCTGATAACTCTTCCACCCTGCATGGAAATAGACACACAGGAACACATCAAGCCGTC